TAAACCCTCTGGAGTGCTGTCCTATCTGCCACTGTGCAATTGGCAAACCATACACAGATTCAGTAAGTTAAAATACTCTCTATGGTGCAGCGGTAGAAGGTCACCAGCAGTTTGGCATTCAGTTGTTGTTTCCTGAGAAATCTCAGGTAGTATAATCTCTGCTGGGTCCTTTTGATCAGTGCTGCAATATGAGTGCCCCAGGTCAGGTCCTCTTTTATGATAACACCCAGAAACTTAAAACTGGCCATTTGCTCCACTCGGTCTCCATTGATAAGCAAGGGCTGGATGTCTGATCTATTTCTTCTGTAGTCCACTATAAACCCCTTGGTCTCATTGGTGTTAAGGACCAGGTTATTGTCTCCACACTACAAAAGCAACTGGTCCACCTCATCTTGATAGGCAGACTCATCCCCTTCGGAGATGAGCCCCACCACTGTTGTAACATCTGCAAATTTAATACTAGTATTACTAGTGTGAACGGGAATGCAGTCATGCACATAAAGAGTATAGAGTAAGGGACTCAACACGCAACTGTGGGGTGTACCAGTGTTAAGAATAAGGGCTGAAGAGATATGATTACCTAATCTGACCCTCTAGAGCGGCCAGACAGGAAATCCATAATCCAAAAGCAGATTGAATAAGAAAGTCCAAGATCCATAAGTTTAGACACTAGTCTACGTGGAAGTATTGTGTTAAATGCAGAGCTAAAATCTACAAAAAGCATCCTCACATAGCCCCCTCCCCCCCCTCCAACTGTTCCAAATGAGTCAGAGCAGTATGAAGAGTGATGGGTATAGCATCCTCTGTAGATCTATTTCTTCTGTATGCAAACTGGTGTTTATCAAATGTATGCGGAAGACAAGAAATGATGTGCCAGCAGACCAACAAGCATTTGTGGGAACCCTTGTTAAATGTTTTGTTAATAAATTGTGTTTATTGTGTTTTTATGTCTTACTGATCTACTAGCCATTTAAAAATGGATGTAACTAATCGAGAACAGCGGGCCTTAAACTCAAATCAGCATAAATGTTACACAAGCACTTGAGCTATGACACAGAAGCCTTGTTGACCATTGATTCCAAAATCTCCAATGAATCAAAATTGAAGGAAATGAAGTGCAATCTTTTGCTCAAGTCAGATCTCAGATAATATAATCAAGAAGCCATTCCATTAAGAGCTGCCAAATCCTGCTTTTCTTTTTCTCCCTTTGCTAAACTGAAATAGCTTTCCCTTCTTCAGTCTTTTTCTTGTTCACTTTCTTTTCTCTTATTTCTCCTTGCCTAGCAAAGTCCTCCTTCCTTCCCTCCCTCCCTCCCTCCCATAGAAGAGAGATCTTGCTTGTTTGCTTGCCCTCTATTTTCTCATTCCTTGCCCCACTGAGACCCTTGCAACAGGAGGGCTCAATCCAGACCTCCTCCTCTGCTCCTTCCTCCCTCCTTCCGTTCCTGCATACCTGCTGTCCTTTTCGAAAAAAGCCAGTCACCATGTCACTTCAGAAGCAATACCCATTACAGACCATCAGAGTGGGTGGAGAGTTCTTGATAAGCAGTGCTGTTCAGCACAGGTGATCTCAGGGCACCTTTTTGCAATCCATTTTTTCAGAAGATACAGCAGATTAAAGATTTGATGAGCAGTATCCTGGACTGCTTGTTGTGGTCCAGCTTCTGCACATTGATGTTATTTGGGGATTCAACTTTCTGTCCTTTCTGATCATCATCCTTGCCACTTACAAAGCCTTGCTGCAGGCCGCAGAAAATTACTTGGAAGGTTTTTTGCAACTCACAGCTATGAATCTGAGACTCCTGATCTAAATGTCTGATTCATGATAACCCATTCATAATTCATAATTCAAAACAAATTATTCATTAGCCCTTAGCTAATTAATAACCTGTTTTGTATTGATGATGTCCTAGATTTGTAGATAGCAAAATTTCTAAAGGAATATGTTCTGTGTCTATTCATTCCATCGGTGTCCACTTTTGGTAAACAGCAAATTTTCAAAGCAGAAGCTTACCTATATCTTCTTAAATATAAAATTTGTGGCTTTCCATTCTTCTTAAACTTCTTTGGGATCATTGTTCCTAATGTGAAATGAAAACCCAGGGATGGATATTTGGAATATTGTTATTATGATACAAATAGAATGGTAAGAAAGAGAAGACAGTAGTGATGGGGAAACTGTATTACTGAAACTTAAAAAAAGATTAGTAAACACAGGGTGAGTTTGCTAACTAGCTAGCCTATCTTCACCACTGATGGTTTTTATTTTCAAGAAGAGCAGAAGTTACTATTTGTTCCTTTGTTCCCCCACATCTATGTATCAGTTTGAAAATATAGTACACTGAATGTACATGTTTTTATTCATTTTTATTTCAACATACTTATTCTTTTTTTGTTCCTGTATAAAATAGTTGAGAGAGAATATAGAAGACGTTTTTAGTGACATGAAGGAAAAGCCACCATAAAGTTGAAAGAACCAGACATGGATATCTGTCTCAGCAAGGTAATGGATCAATCTTAGGAAATGGCTGGTTTTATAAATTCCCATTATTTTGATCCTGTAAAGATCAGAGGGGGTGAGATGTTCAAACATTCCCAGATAAAACAATCAACCTGCTGTTTAGTGGTATTTGAAAGCAGTGAGGAAAGAATCTCACCACTGTTTTCTAACATTTATGTGTGCACATACAGAGACACAGTTTATATGGAAGTGAATCAACTGGAGTTCATATTCAACCCATGTCTCACAAGTTTCCCACTCTTCAAAGTTAGTCACATTGATATGCTCTAGTCTAATGGCTGAAAAATATCGAGAAACTAAACTTTATTCCTAATTCTATTAAGATGCTGCTAAGCTCTATCAGGGATCATTTGTGCCTTTATGTGCTGTAGGAAGTTAGCACCCACCCCTTTCCTAGAAGAATGAAATATTTTAGGAAATATTAAAAAGGCAGAATATTATGTTTCCCTGGATGAGAAATGGAGAAGCATGTTTTAAAGGAAGCAGCTCCCATCTTCCTGCCCCCACCCTTTGTCAATGGGCCAGAGGCAGAAACTCAATCTTTGTCAATGGACCATCATCTGCAACCCAATAAGACCCATCTAGCAACAGAAACTAACACAATAGGACGCATCTAGCAAAAGAAACTAACACAATAGGACCCATCTAGCAACAGAAACTCACCACATGGCATTCGGGAAGATTACATCAGCCAGCAAGGCTAGCTAAGACCCCCACCCCCTGGGAGTCTGACAATCAATCAGGATACTCTTTCGGGGCCCCAGGAAGTTCAAAGCCAGAGAGGGCATAAAACCCTGGGACTCGCTGCATCTCGCCCTTTTCTGTTCAGGAACTCAAACCATGTGATCCTGTCCACTATTAAACCATCTTTCCAAGCCGTCTCCATGTTTCCAGTGTCTTTTTCCCCACTTGGAGCTGAACCCAGAAGGATATTTCTTCTAACAGTGCCAAATGTCAGCACCATGCAAAATGTGAGGCTCACTGCCAATGAGGCTTCCAGAAAGGCTCCAAGCAGCTCCTCTACAAAAGCACTGTTGCAGGTTCTTTTTTGAATCCAAATAATCAGATTGATCCAGACTCAATAAAGACACAAAGCACTGGAAACCTGGACAGTTGGTTATTGTTGTTGTTTTCTATCTCCCTTAAATGGCTGGGGGCACTTGTATTTTACAAAACAAGGACAACTGTTTGCCCTTTTAAAAAAGGAGTTGAAAATTATAAATGCCTTCAACTATTTCAGAAACTAAAATTGCTGCCTGGGGAATTCTGAGAATTGGAGTCCACATCTTTTAGTTTTACCATTTTCACTTATAATGAACTGGATGACATAGTTCTCACTAAATCCATATGCAACTCTGCATGAATTAGAGAAATAATCCTATCAGAACAATCCAATTCTGAATCCCAGTAACAATAATTAGTTTGTGCTATATACCTATTAAAAATATTAGCTGCTTGAGCAGTTCTTTCTCTCTTGTCAGAATTAGAAACAATTAGGGGTAATCCAATAGGGCTTGATTTCACAATATTTTATTTTTTGGTAAGATATTGATTTTGAAATGCAGTATACTGTTTCAGTAACAGCTGTATGTTTAAGAAAACAAATTAAGGAAGAGTCTGAAAGGTAAGTCTTACTTTTCCTTAGTTGGAACAATACAAAGGGCTTGTACACCTTTCAGAATATAATGCAATGCTAAATCAGAAAACATTCAACTAGGACACAATAAATCACCGCCTATCAAAAAAACCAACATTTATTAGAAACGTAACTGCACCAAATATTGTATTGAACCAAATACTGTATTCATAAACAGCATATGTGTTAAGGATATTGTTCTTGTGTTACCAACCAGCAGACTAGAGCACAGAGAAACGTTGCTGAGAGCAATGAATAACAGATGTGCAAACTGGTTTATCAAAAGTTTACTTTATAGTGGAAAAACAATTTCATAGTCTTTAAATCAATCCAAGTCTTTGCCAGTTAAATCAGTCCAGTGATACGGTTTGATATGGTTTGAGCCTAACAATATGCAAGAAAAGAGGGTCCTGGGTCTGCTATGGCGTTTACTTCAATCGCCTGTCATTTTTTTCTTATTTAATTCTAGTGAGGAGATCAATCCGTCTTACACTTCCCCAATTTTCACGCCGTTAGTGTTAGATGGGAATTACGCAAAATAAACCCCTGAATTGAAGACCGAGCTTAGTTCAGGACAATTCTTCACAAGGCCGCCATGAGTCGACGTCGACTTGACGGTAAAGAACCACAATAGTCCCAGTACAGTTTAAAAAGGGGGGGAGGGGGACTCGCATTCAGAATGCATTGGCGCGGACGCTGAAAGAAATCGGGCACAGAGACGCGCCATCGAGTAAGCAGATTGGCTCAAATTTCGCGCAAGCGTGGAAGAGATGGAAGAAAAGCCCCGCCTCCTCCTCCTCCTCCTCGTCCGCCTCAGAGGGTTGCGCGCGCAGGTGGCGGGAAGCGCCTACCTCTCAGCCGGTCTGTTTTGAAAGCGTTGGTGGGGAGCTTGTGGCGGAGCTCGTCGGATATGCGCCTCCCGTGCGACGTGGTGGTGGTGAGTCGCCTGCTGCCCTCAGCGGGGATGCGGGCCCCGGGACGAGCTGCCAGGGCTCTGCTCGCCCTGGGGAAGGCAACCGGAGGAGACGGAGGCGTCTGCCTTCTGGTCAGCACTGCCCGCCACCGCCCTGGAGCCAAATACCAGGTGAGGAACCGCGGAGAGGGAAGGGGGTGGGTCGGTGGGTCGGTGTCCCTTGCTCCTTTCCTCGGTCTTGGGTCCTCCATGCCTAATCGGAAGTCTGCACGGTCCGTTTAACGCCGGTCGGTATTTTGTTTGAGTTTGATCCCTCTTAAGAAATGATAGCAATAATTCACAATCTTTTCTTGCTGATAGCTTGTTCAGCTGCTACTTGCATCTGTCTATCTAATCTATCTATCTATCTATCTATCTATCTATCTATCTATCATTTTTGTCCCATCTTTTTTTTTATATGTACAGTTCAAGACAGCGAACATAGCAACACTCCCTTTTCTACCATAACAGCAACCCTGGGAGTTGAGTTGGGCTGTGTGAGTTGGAGTTGTATGACTGTAACTTTGTTGCTTGTATCCTTACGATTTATATTGATATTGATTGTTTCCTGATTGCTTATTTGTATCCTATGACTGTCAATAAGTGTTGTACCTTATGATTCTTGATGAAGGTATCTTTTTCTTTTTGTACACTGAGAGCGTATGCACCAAGACAAATTCCTTGTGTGTCCAATCACATTTGGCCAATAAAAAATTCTCTCCTCTCCTCTCCTCTCCTCTCCTCTCCTCTCCTCTCCTCTCCTCTCCCCTCCCCTCCCCTCCCCTCCCCTCCCATTCCCTCATCCCATCCCATCCCATCCCATCCTATGAGAAGTGTCTGGCCCAAAGTTACCCAGGCTATTTTTAATGCTTAAAGTGGGACCAGAACTCAGTTTACTGGTTTCTAAGCCAGCATCTTCATTAATTTATTTGATTTATATAGCCACCCGTCATACAACATGACCCTGTTTTTACAATAAACAGTTGTAAAAACAAGGTAACAGAAATATGTAGAATAGAACAGCATTTTATTACAGTCACAGCCTGGAAATAAAATGCATAATATAAAATAAAAACATAGCAGCTGGGCATCCAACTATTAGCAAAGGTCTTTAGTGGGCTTTATCACTCTTCCAGGGCCCCAGGCTCAGAAACAAAGCCAATGTTTTAAAGGTCTTGCAAAAGGCAAAGATAAGAACTAACCTAATCTCAGTTGGAATAATGTTTGACAAAGCAGATACCACAGCAGAAAAAGCTCTCTTCATGGGCTCCAGGAGCCAACACTCCTTAGCAAAAATACCTAGAATATGTCCTATTGGAGAGTACCATATACTTCCTACAAAAGCAGATAGTCCTTAAAAGTTTATACACTAAGCAACAATGAAAGCAAGAGCTTGGAGATGATGATCATGATCTAAACAGAACAAAAATGAACTGTTAGCAGGGTGGATTTGATTTAAATCAAGTCGATTTAAATCAGTAGTAAATAGGCTTGATTTAAATCAACTTGATTTAAATCATAATTTTTAAAGAGCAACTGTCATCTCTGACCCGCAGCGGCGCCTCTTCTGACCTGCTGTTGACTCACCGACTCCCAATATTGCAGAATATATAGCCTCATGCTACATAACTAAGTTCCATTTCATGCTGAATAAACTAAATTATTAATGTATCTTAAATAGAAAACTATTCTTAGGTAGATTTTTATTCCAAAACCATTTTATGAAAATAAATTTGATAAAAATAAAAAAAAAATTAAAATCATTGATTTTTATCCACCTTGGATGTTAATGTTTTAAACAAGTAAATTAATGATTGGGATGTGATTACTTCTCCATAGGAAAATTGCTATAGGCTTCTGTGGGTATTTAGGTGAACTTTTTAAAGATATTTTTGCCCTTAATCTCTCACAGAACCATCAAGCTTCTTCTCTGAAATCTAGGCTTCTGACAAACAGAGTTTGAAAACTCTAGGTTAAATACAAATAAGATGTAAGATTACTAACATTTTTAATATTTGATATTTAAGGTGGGGATTCTGCATTGTATCAGACTCCCGCCGATATTGCATTCTTTTCTTTAGTCTTGCCTGAATCAGGCTGGTGATTTATTTGGCTATACAGTTGAAAAATCATTTGAATAATGAAGAGGATTATGAAACTGTTCTCTTTTCTTGTCTCAACATCTGGTCCTATGAAGACACAGTCTTTAAATTCAGCATAGGTTGCTTGTTCATGGTTCTACCATTTTTTTCTTTAAAAACAGTTGAAAGAAAACATAGATCAGCTTTTTACTAAGTTCGTGGATGAAGGAAAAGCAACCGTACGGCTAAAAGAACCAGCTGTGGATATTTGTCTTAGCAAGGTATGAAATCAGCTCTAGAGGCAAGTAGACTAAGTCACCTAATTTTTGCCTTTAAAATTAAAGAAAATTTAAAGGGTATCTTGGCAGTTCCATTTGAATTGGAGGGACGGGTGAAGAATGAGGAGGAGGGATGTTCAAACATTTTAAGGTAGAATAATCACAGTTGAAGTTAATATACAGTAGTTGGTAGGAAAAAAACTTCACTAATGAATTTTCTGACATTACAAATTTAAGAAATTAGTTGGCAGCTTTTGAATTTCTAATCTATAGTGCATATCTATATGTCTGTTTGAAAATAATGACCAGATTAAAGGCTGTAACTTTTTGCTGCCTCAGTGCATTTATTTCATAATTTAGAAAATTATGTACTTCTCCCAAAGAAACCCAAACCCAAGTGAATTATACATGATGTTTATCTTTGTGCACCATTTTCTTTCCAGGCAAGTGTCAGTGAGCTGAGGACTTTCCTTTATGCAGTGAAATTGGCTCATCAAGGCACCAAAGAGGAAACTTTACCACTTTCTAAGCTGGTATCACCAAAGGCCTCTGAAGTTGAAAAACCAAAAACCAAGATGACCATAACATCAAAGAAGGATTATCCTTTAACTCGGAATTTCCCATACTCTCTGGAGTATCTCCAAGCCTCCTATTGCAAATTAGCTCGTATAGATATGCGTATGCTTTGCCTGAGAAGCCTTCGGAAACTGGACTTGAGCCACAATAGTATTAAAAAGCTTCCAGCAACTATTGGGGACCTTGTTTGCCTTCAGGAGCTCAATCTACAGGACAATCACTTGGAGTCATTCAATGTGGCTCTGTGTAACTCCACTCTCAAAAAATCACTTCAATCTCTGGATCTCAGCCAGAATAAAATCAAAGCCCTGCCTGCACAGTTTTGCTACTTGCAGAAACTCATACATTTAAAGTTAGATGATAATAATTTGATTAGATTGCCATTCAAGATTGGTCAACTGTCGCATCTCCGCTTCTTATCTGTGGCTCGTAATAAACTCCCATTTTTGCCCAGTGAATTTGCTAAACTCTCACTTGAGAGCCTGGATTTATTTGGCAATCCTTTTGAGCAGCCAAAACCACTTGTTCCTGATATACACTTAAAAATACCACTGACTTTACTAGAATATTCTGCAAGAGCAACCATCAATTACAGGTAAAAGGGACAGGTTCTAGTTTAAATTATTTTTAAAAAATCATTTTCCCAATTTCCTAATTGGACATTTAATTGGCAAGAATCATGAGAAGGGTGATGGGGAAGTTTTAGGGAAGTAAATCTAATATGAATGCCTTTTTTTTTTTTGTAGGGTCCCATATGACTGCCACATTCTTCCTTATCACCTTTGTGTTGATCTTGAGATGTCAAAAACTTGTCAATGTGGACGTGCTTGCGTGACCTGCTTCATTCAAACAACAGCGACTATGAATCTGCACAGTGTGGCACACACAGTTGTTCTTGTGGATAATATGGGAGGCACAGAGGCCCCCATTCTTTGCTATTTCTGCTCTCTCACCTGCTATTCCCAGTTTCTGGATAGACATCTGCAAAGTGTGAGGTGATCAGATTATAATCTGAGAAGTTTTATTCAGCAAATGCTAACTTCTGTTTTGTATTGGAAGAAAAGGAAACAATAATCTGCTGGAACAAGGCTTCTCATCTCTAAACCATCTCCTTTTTTATTATCTGAAGATTGCATAAAGTGTTTAAACACTAGGGTCTTCAAACTTGGCAAATTTAAGACTTGTGGACTTCAACTCCCAGAATTCCTGAGCTAACACGAGGAGGAATTCTGGGAGTTGAAGTTCACAAGTCTTAAAGCTGTCAAGTTTGAAGACGCCTGCTTTAAAGTGTTAGATATTATCCCTGATGCCAGGTGCAAGTTCCTTCCTAACTCCTGTTTAATGCTGTGAATGGAATAGCTGGAGCTCACATCCTCTCAACTGAGAAAAATTCCTTTTCTGCTCTTATTTTAGCACTATTTTTATAAAATCTTTAGTAATTTTTTCTGAGTAAGAATGTATTTTCAGAGATGCTGTATAACATGCAGTGTTTTGAATACAGAATTTGCAATCCCTTGAAAAATTCTTAAATTTATAAACAATTCTTTGAAAATGGGAAGTGCTGAACTCATTACAGTATTTGGTATTCATTTTAAAAAATAAATGCACACTTTGTGCAATCTGTACATGCCAATCAAAGGAAGGTTTGTCACACCAATGTAACCAATCATATTTACAAACATTTTGATTCAGAATGGTATTTTAAAAGTTGTTTACTTTAAAGATCAATTCACATATTACACTTTGTATAGAATAATTTATTGACAACAAAATACAATTTATAGTGTTTTTATAACGTTGTGGACAATAATTTCCAGACATCAGTTGAGATTTTAAAATCAGCATGACAATATTTATTATCAGGTCAGATGGAAATTGTGCTTAGAATAAAACATGGTGTTTTAACTACACCATGAATCTAGAAATATTTTTCCAGTCTCAGAGAAAAATACAGAATTTCTCTTGTTACTACAAGAAATAAAACTTAATTTTAATACTTTTGTGGGAAACCTCCCCCCAAAGAATGAAATATTTTGAGAAATATTTGAAAAGGCAAATTTGTTGGAAGAAATGTCCATCTGGGTTCAGTTCCAAGTGGGAAAAAGACACTGGATCCATGGAAGTTGTTTGGAAAGAAGATTTATTGATGAACAGGATCAAATGTCTTGAGTTCCTGAACAGAATCACATGGCCTGGTTCCTGAGCAGAAAAGGGGCCAAGATGGTGGGTGTACCTTGGTTTTATGCCCTCTCTGAGCTTTGAACTTCCTAGGGCACAGGAAGAGTATCCTGATTTGTCAGACTCCCAGGGGCTGGGGGTCTTAGCTAGCCTTGCTGGCTGATGTAATCTTCCCAGGTGCCATGTGGTGAGTTTCTGTTGCTATATGGGTTCTTTGTGTTGCAGATGGGATGCTGAGGCCTTAATGGCCCATTGGCAAAGGGAATGAGTTTCTGCTGCTCTGAGTTTCTACTTCTCTTTCAGGGGAAATATTCTGCCTTTTTAGTATATCCTAAAATATTTCATTTTTCTAGGAAAGGGAAGGGTTTTAACTTCCAACAGCAGGATAAAATATTTCCCCTAAAGGAGAAATGAAAAAATCTTAAGGGAGGCAGAAACCAGCCCCAGTTTCCCTGCCCCAAGCGGGAAACCGAGGAGACCAGCTTTTAGAAATGCAGATTTGGTAATCCATTCAGAAAAACTGTCAAGACAAACTCAGATAAGCAACAAACAAAAGATTGACAAAATTAGCTCAAACACCTAGGATTTGCATTTTCCTCTTTTGCCTATAGAGCCAGCTATGATCGCTACATGACCCCCATAGGAATCCAAAGGTATAAAAAACCCACCCTTTCTAAACTCCATTTGGTCAGCTGCACCAGAACCACAAACCCTTAAGGTTCTATTCATCAATAAATGGACCTTTCTTTCCAATCAGCCTCCAGGCTCCATTTTATTTACAGCATCTTTCTCCCAGCTTGAAACTGAACCAGATGGATTTTCCTTCCAACAATTTAAAATCTAGAAACCAGAAAACTGATTTCTAGTCCCACCTTAGGCAAGAAAAACTAGCTGGATGACTTTGAGCCAGGGTCTCTCAGCACATTTCACCTCACAAACATAATCTATACTAAAAACATGGATATAGCTTATGTAAAACATCATTGTTATGCTTTGGGGTAAAGATGAGCTCACAAGGAAAGAGATGAATTGTGAGGGAGTTGACTGCTTTTCAAGAAGGGGGCAGGTAAGAAATGAGAAAAGTTCTCCATCTTTGTTGGACCAGAGCACATTTATATACTGTACATGCGATTAATTGATTATGGACTATCAAGTCATTGTCAACTTTTGGGATGATCTGTTCCTAATCTGGTTTTTCAGGTGTGATCTATACACCTACCATATGGCCAACAAGTTAGGATAGTTAGAAAACCTGACTGGAGAGAATAAGTTGCCCATTGTCTACGGCAGGGGTCAGCAACCTGCGGCTCTGGAGCCCCGTGTGGCTCTTTCACCCCTCTGCTGTGTCTCCCTGTCACTCAAAATATGCGTCACAACTGTCAATGTGTGACACCCACCGGCACGCGATTTATTGAGCTTTTCAACCCTGGTAGGCCAACCATGGATACAGCCAAGAAAAAAGTTTAAGAAGAAAACAGAACATTTAATTCAACTATATATGGTTGTTTTGTGGCCGCTCAAGAAATAGGCAAGGGAAGGATTTTGTGGCTCCTGGTGTTTTCTGTGGGAAACAGGTCCAAATGGCTCTTTTGAGTGTTTAAGAGCCTTGGTAGTACAGGAGTTTAAGGCACCCTGTTATTAAGTTTATTAAGACCAGCTGCCTGCAATTACTGCAGGGTTCGAATCTCGCCAAGGCTCAAGGTTGACTCAGCCTTCCATCCTTTCTAAGGTAGGTGAAATGGGGACCCGGTTTGTGGGGGCAATAAGCTGACTTTGTATAAATATACAAAAGGATGAAGGCTATTGCTGAGCACATTGTAAGCCGCTCTGAGTCTTCGGAGAAGGGCGGCATATAAATCAAATTAAAAAAAAAAAAGGTGACCCCTGGTCTACGGAAACAACGAAAGTTTGGGGATACTTGGTGATCTCTGAGCTTGGTGATCTTCTTTTCCAGCGGTTTCATTGCCCAAGTAGGCAACAGCCCACGAGAAAATAACCAAGGTCAGAAAACTCCACAGTTCAATCCAAATATTCTCTTCTGTTGCTTCAATAAGTTATTTAAAAGGCCAGAAAATTTGGACAGCGGAATATCTGCCTCTTTTTGCCTCCTATCAATCAGATTCATTTCGGGAGCATCAGTGCGAAGCGACTCCTTTTTCCAAGAGCGCCTCTAGCTAGCCAGACAGAAACCGTTCAGCCCAGATCACGGCCTCTCCAGCGAACGAAGCGGGTAGTCCGGATCCGGAAGCCGCGCCTGGAGAGGGAGGTCCTGGGGTTGCTGCAGCCCCGACGGAGGTAGCGTGGCCGGCTGGTGCGTCCGGGGCGGAGCCGCTCGGGTCCCTCCTTCCTTCCTTCGCTCGCTCGCTCTTCATCCGGCCGCGCCGCCTCTTTCGCCTTCGGCCAAGAAAAGGAGGGAGAGGATGCGCGCACGGCGGCGGCGGCCCGAGCAGTCGGGCGCCCTCGAACCCTGGAGCGCTCGGTTGTTCCGCTGATGCGCGCCCAGGGGCAGGGGGCCGCGCAAGGCCCGGCTCGAAGCCACCGCAAGTGAGGAACGAGGAAGGCGCAGGAGAACCGGAAACCTCCCGGACCATGAGACTCCGCATCTACAAGCGCAAAGTGGTGGCGCTGCTGCTGGTCTTGGGCGCCGCCGCCTGTGCCTTAGTGCTTTGGGGAGGGACAAGCGAGGCCGGCGGCGGCGGCGGCGTGGCCGGCAGCAGCAGCAGCAGCAAACGGGAAGAAGCCGCGTCTCCGCCGCCGCCGCTGCTCCCGGGAGATCGACCGTTGCCACCGGCGGTTACCAGCAGCAGCCTTCCAGTTAATAACGGGCGGCACTCCAATTCTTCTTCGATATCGCGGGAAGAGCCGCCGGCAGGATCGAATCGCACCCTGCACTACCGGTCTCTGGTCTACCGACTCAACTTCGACCAGCCGGTTCGCAACGAGGCGCGCTGGCGGCCTGGCGGGAGCCCCGGAGAGGTAGCCGTGGCGCTGGTGGTGCAGGTGCATGAGCGCGCCGAGCACCTCCGGATCCTGTTGGACTCGCTGCGACGCGCGCCAGGCGTGGACAAAGTGCTCCTCGTGCTTAGCCACGACGTGTGGTCCGCCGAGCTGAATGCGCTGGCCGCTTCCGTGGACTTCTGCGCGGTGCTGCAGATTTTCTTCCCGTTCAGCTTGCAGCTCTATCCGGGCGAATTCCCAGGCACGGACCCACGCGATTGTCCGCGCGACGTGGGCCAAGCGGCAGCGCTGCGCACGGGCTGCCTCAACGCTCACTACCCCGATGCCTTTGGCCATTACCGTGAGTCTACTTTCACCCAAACCAAACACCACTGGTGGTGGAAGCTTCACTTTGTGTGGGAGAGGGTGCGGGCTCTGCGAGAACACCCAGGCTTGGTGGTCTTCTTGGAGGAGGACCACTACCTGGCACCTGACTTCTACCATGTCCTGCAACGCCTCTGGGCCCTGAGACAGCGTGAATGCCCTGAGTGCCAGTTGCTGTCCTTGGGCACTTACGCCACTGTGCGTGGCAGCTTTGCTGGCCGGGCTGACAAGGTGGAATTGAAGACATGGAAATCCACAGAGCACAACATGGGCATGGTGTTTGCTAGGGACACATACCAACAACTGATTGCCTGCACTGATGCCTTCTGCAGCTATGATGACTATAACTGGGACTGGACTCTGCAGCATTTGACTGTAGGATGCCTTCCTCATTTCTGGAAGGTGCTGGTTCCGGAAATCCCCCGAATCTTCCACACCGGTGACTGTGGCATGCACCACAAAAAATCTTGCCAACCCTCTGTTCAGAGTGCCAAAATTGACTCGCTGTTAAGTAGCAATAAACAATACTTATTTCCTGAAACCGTAACTATTAGCAAGCGGTACTCAATGACCCCTTTGAGCCCCCATGTGAAAAACGGGGGTTGGGGTGATATTCGGGACCACGAACTCTGTAAAAGTTACCGAAGATTACAGTGAAAGAAGGAACATTGAGTCTTTGTCTCTGTTAGACTGACTAGTCTTTTAAATACACAATCATAAAATACTTGGAATTTGCTTCTAGTTTAATATGGACAGCAATGGTTGCAGACGATGTCATTTGGTAATTTTGGACACTGAATAATTATGTGGAGCAATGCTCAAAATAAAAACTATAAGTGTCTACTTGTTTACTGGAAATAAGAGGGTTTTTTTACAACTGATCTAGTCCCTTTTATAAGATATTCCCAACATCTTCAAACTTGTTTTTAACAAAGATAAATATTATAGATACAATTGTATCTAGGGGGGGGGGGGGGCTTGTCAGTCCTAAGCTATTCAATGTCCATGAGTTTTCAAAAGTTAGTTTTTAAGTTTGTTTTGTAACTTACTCCCCCCCCTTTTTTTTTCTTCTTCTTTACAGTATGATCCTCTGCTCATTCAGTATTCCATTTCTATAACCTTTTACCCGGCTTGCTTGCAATTTGATACCTTAATACCTGCAAAAAGCATTATCTTATTTTCTATGTGCTTATAAGAGAAAAATGAAATTGATTTCTTTTAATGTAGAATTATGCAGCTTTTTTAATTATGCCAAAATAAAAAAATCATGTTTTTGTAATACAAGTTTCAATGGTCTGATAGGATCCATTTTATTTGAATTAAATATCACAAATTAAAATTCTCAGTACAGAAATGTTATAATGCAATGCTAAAAATAACATGTAAACAGTTCTTTTTAAAAATATATTATTTACTTCCTATTGAAATAGTCTAATTTTTAGATTTGGCAGCCTAATATAATTATAGAGCATTGAATACAGAATCTGAATGTTAGAAAAATAACTAGAACATTCTAGGCTTAATACCCTAAAAAACCTTGCTTGGAAACGGTCACAATTTAATTAAACTATATGTTCAGCTCTACGATAGAATTTGTCTCAAATTTCTTCTGGCAACCCACATAAAAGTTCATTATGCCAACAAATGTCCTAAAATACATCTTTAGTTTTTAATAAAAGAAAATCCAAAATTTATTACTTGTCCAAACAGATAACAGAAATAACTGGGACAAACTAGCTTAGTCTTTAAAATATATTTTTGATAAATTGTATTTTAAAAGTGAGATCCAGGTCGTATTAAACTAGGAGGAATTAACAGAAAAACTACAACAGCTTTCCGTATCTTGTTTTTTTGCCTTTCTGAAATAAAGATATTTTTTAGGATTACAAAAGGAAGGATTTATTAGATTTTACAAAATTTCTTACTACAGTTTCATTTGAATACGCAGACAGAACTTTTAAGATAAATAGATGAAAGACTGCAAACTGCTTTAAATCATTCTTATTTAGAAGTGAGTTTTGTTAAAATTTCTGGTTTGTAATATCTGCAAAATGGAACAATCCAGTTAAAACTAAGCATAACTAGGAACCACATGTCACTGATGAAAGTTCATTTACTTCATGGAAACTTTAATCTTGACTTTGTAGTGTTTGCTCTGTGCGCTGTCGCTTGCTAATTTCCAGTAAATTATCAACAGCACCAAGGCCATTTTCCACCTAATGGATAATTCTGGGGCATAATTAGAAGTTGGCTTAAGCAAGGAAATTTAATTAAGTTGACATTTAGAACAGTTCTCTGTTATTGCGTACTGTGTAGTTTTGGATATAATGATAGTTTAACTGGATTTCAATAAGACAGTTTTAATGTTGTGATCTGCATATTCAAAAGGATAACAATTTCAAATACATACAGTAGTATCTAAGAATATATTTTTATGGAGGTACCTATCTTATTGTTTGCATAGGTAAGTCTTTCCATGATTATTTAATGACATTACTTACACTTACATGACTTACACGTGACAAAAACAGACTGAACCTGCCACTGGTTGTTGTGACAAAATAGGACAATGCTTACAAAATGTCTTTAAATTAAGCTTTTAAATTCTTTGAAAATTTAAGTAAATGAAATTGACAATCCGGCAGCATTAGAATCCTAGCCATGTTACAAATAAATCCATTTGGTTTCAATGATTTCATTTTACAATTACCACTTTTTCATACCACTTGAAGAATTTCCCCAATGTGACTGAGACATTACAAGGGCTCCCAAAAGACTGAAAAAATTAGCAATTAATTAGTAATGAATTGTTAATAATCTTTATTCTCTTCCCTACCTGTAGGATGCTAGTTAACATGAGAACACTCAAGCTGTGTAAATAGTTGAAAGCAATCTAACAGCAAAGGCTGTGTGTAAAATGTCATCTAGTTTTGGAGAACGTTTAATGGGTTATTATTTGCCATTTGGCTGAAAACTGGAGAAAACAGAAGAATGGGATATTAAGCAAAACATGTTTACAGTTTACTTATAAGTCAAGGTGTTTGCAGATTTTTTGCACATTCTGCATGCTTTCCTAACTTGTGCCATCTAATTCGGATCAGGATTTGCCTGAGAAATCTGTTTAGCTTCAATGAACTGCCCATTTCTTTTTGAAATTCAGTAACAAATTGGTCACATCTGAATCTTACAACTAAATTAAGAAACAAGCAGTTTCTGTTCCTTTTTTCTTCCAGCAATTGAATTTCAATTTCTGTATAGCTTTGACTTTTTGTATACTTTATAGTAAGTGCAGAATTTGAGGTAGCTGAAGACTCAGGTAAGAGTCTTATGAAACTGATTTAATCCAGTTCATACAGCAAAGCATTTTCAAAGGTGGCTGCACACTGTGTTCTGTGACAGCTTGTATATTCCACGCTACCATCTTGCATGTTAGTTTCCTTTAACACAGTGGGAGCTAACCTGTTCAACTCTTTGTTCTGTGAGGACTTCTTCTGTTCATTCACTTCCTCTCCCTCCTGGAGCTCAGCTTGCACTGAGGACGTGGCTCTTTTGCTTGTTGCAAAAGTAAGTCCTGACTCATGTAATTTATTTATCTGCAACTTCCCCAGAATCCTCCCACTGGGATCACCAGGGTCAAGCTCCATACAATAGCTTGATCCCTTGCCAACTTGCCCCATTGCCTGCATAGCTACAAATGAACCTGAAACACTCTTGGTTTGTTCAGAGGAATTTTCTTCATCTGTTAAAAGTTTGCCATCTTCTTGTTCTTGTTCACTGCCCTCTCTTTTTTCTCTTCTGCCAAGTTCGAGGCTACCATTCTCTATCTGCTGAGAGGAAGAGAGAAAACATTTCACTGTTTCAACCTAATAAACAAGCTCATTAACCAAACCAGAATAACTTGCATTTCCTCCTTGCCTGGTCTTATCACACACACATCTGTGTTACTATCTTCTTGTTATACTTCCTGTAAACATAGTTGGAGTGTTTCCTAACCCTGACAGCAGAATATAACTACCAAAATTGCTTCTAACCAAATTGCTTAGAAGCAATGTTGCATTATATCAGACAGGTGGTTGGTATGTATTTAGCAAAAAAAGAATCATGATTAATGTATACAAAATGTCTTCTGCCTATTCAATGCCTCAGTACCATATGGACATATGTTCCTGGAGAAATGTTATGATTCCAGTTGAAGAATTAGTTGATCTGCTTGGACTTTCAGCCTCTAATGTGCCATTTGGATCTACTTTGTTAATTATTTAAGTATTAAATGGCTATATTGATAGCCTAGCTCAATGAGAAATTTGATATGCTTCAGATGCTTGTGAGGAGGACAATTGGGAAGGGAAAGATGGACAAATATGCTTCTAAATTCTCAAAATCCAATTTACCTAGAAGTAAACTAATTATTCCCACTCAACAATGTTCATAAGCCTCCAATTATTATTATTTGCTAGCATCCTTCAAGGCTACATTCAAATTCTTATCGGACAAATCAAGTTGCTGTACTGCTTGAAATATTTCAGACTTAGATAAAGGTAAAGGTTTCCCCTGTCCAGTCATGTCCAACTCTAGGGGATTAGTGCTCAGGGTTGTCCGAAGACATTTTCCACATTTTCTGTATAGACAGCATGACTATATGCCAAAAGTGCACAGAATGCTGTTATCTTCCCACCAAAGTGGTACTTATTTATCTATTCTAGAGTCATGGTGGCGCAGTGGTTAGACTACAGGACTAATTCACTGCTCACTCCAGTAGTTCAATTCTAAGCAGCTCAAGGTTGACACAGCCTTCCATCCTTCCGCGGTCGGTAAAATGAGGACCCAGATTGTTGGGGGCAATATGCTGACGATAAGCCATTTAGAGAGGGCTGTAAAGCACTGTGAAGTGGTATATAAGTCTAAGTACTATTGCTATTGCTACTGTTACTCACATTTGCATATTTTCGAACTGCTAGGTAGACAGGAGCTAAGGCAAGTAACGAGAACTCACCATGTTGACCTAGGCCAGGGGTGTCAAACAAGGCCCGCAGGCCGATCCAGCACGTGATGGGATCGGATCCGGGGCCGTCCTGGAAAATGTAAGGGGCTGGCCCGTTTCACTTCGGCCCAGTCTACCCAATGTGAAGAGGAAACATTGGGCCAGCGTGGCTTCGACCCGGTCTACCCAGTGCGAAGAGGGGAAATATCGGGCCAGCGTGGCTTCGGCCCGGTCTACCCAGTGCGAAGAGGAAACATGCCAGCAGTTTGGAGAGTGGCATCAAGCTGGCCACGCCCACCTAGTTGACCATGCCCACCAGTTGGCCATGCCTGTCCGGCCCTCGGGATCAACCACAGCCCTGATGCGGCCCTCAATGAAATTGAGTTTGACACCCCTGACGTAGACTGTCAGCTATCCAGCTGACAAGCTTGGCGGCTTAGCCACTGAACCATCAGGCACTCCCAACAGTTCAGATTTTATTTCACTTTTATGGCCAAATAAAGTAGTGCATCTTAAACAATATGTCACCAAGCAATGGGCCTCATGTAATTATCTGACTAGATAATTGCACCCTAGTACAATCAGAGCTAGAATTTTTGACATAATTGACTTTAAGCTGGCAAGATATAAAAGCAGTATAATTTGTAAATGTTTGAAGAAAAAGAAAATATAATAGTTGTGAAACTATAATATATAATAGCAGAATCTGAAGCATTCTTATAAAAGAAAAAAAGCAGAGCTAGGATTCAAATGCAGTTGTTTGCTCTCCTTACAATTTTTTTGCTTACTGCAGTGTAGATTATTCTACACCAGTCTCAGCCAAGGAGCAAAGTCCAAAATGCAGCCTGGATTTTCCCAATCTGATTTAAGATAAAAACTGACTAACAGAAGGAGAATCTAAACAACACCTGCAAATATAATTTAGTATCATACAAAATTCAATGTATATTTCAGATAGAAAACTATATGTCTATTCAATAGTTCTTGCTGGCTTTCTTTCACTATTTCATTTACAATTTGAATATTAATTTACATTATAGAAATTGTTTTTCAGAGTGATAGGCTCTACAAACAAAGCCTGAGAAACCTGTGCACTTTCAAGGTAATAGGTGGCCGACCTAGAAAAAATCTAGCAAGAGAATACATACAGTATAACTATTTTGATGTACCTTGATACTCAAGTAATTAATCATAATTTAGAAGGAACTCTTAAATAATCATTCCCAGTAACCCTATCTTTTTATTACCATGTTTCCCTGAAAATAAGATCCTGTCTTCTATGTTTTTGAACCCTGAAATAAGCGCTTGGCCTTATTGCCATGTGCTCAAAAGCCCAATTGGGCTTATTATCAGGGGATGACTTATTTTGGGGGAAACAGGGTAGCATCCTGAATTCTACTCTACAAATAAATCTCACATCAATGTTCTATTATTATTCACCTTACGGTTTTCTTCAAAATCTTATCTAGCTACAGAATTTATATATATATCCTGTTACAAACTAAAATCTATACAGTACATAGCATATGCCAGTGATGGCTAACCTTTTTGCCATCACATGCCAGGAGAGGGGGGGCGGGGGAGGGCTGCGCGCGCACGTGCCCACGCGCATGTGTGTGCAACCCGCTCCCCCCCCACTCCTGGCACATGATGGCCTGGTAGGCCCGTTTTTCTTTCTTACCTGGTTCCAAATCCTCTCTGTGTATCTGGGAACAGCGAAAACAGCCTTTCCCACTCCCTTGGAGGCCCTACGGAGGCTGAAAGGGCCCATTTCCCAACTCCCGGTGGGACAGGAAGTGACATTTTTTGCTGTCCCCAGCCTCCAGAACCTCTCTAGGAGTCTGTAGGAGCCTCTCTAGGAGTCTGTAGGAGCCTCTCTAGGAGTCTCTGGAGGCTGGGGACAGGAAAAAAAACGTCACTTCCTGTCCCACCGGGAGTGGGGAAATGGGCCCTTTCAGCCTCCATAGGGCCTCCAAGGGAGTGGGAAAGGCTGTTTTCGCTGTTCCCAGATACACAGAGAGGATCTGGAGCCAGGTAAGAAAGAAAAACGGGCCTTCCCGACCCCACCCCCCCAGGCCCTCCAGAGGCAGGAAACAGCCTGTTTCCCTACTTCTGGTGGGCCCAGAAGGCCCAAAAATCAGCTGTCTGGCGTGCGCATGCGTCCCAGAGCTGAGCTGGCGGGCCCACTAATATGGCTCCACGTGCCACCTGTGGCACGCATGCCATAGGTTCGCCATCACGGGCATATGCATTCTTGTTTGGGGAGATGTAATGAGTTTAATTTAGCAGAGAAAAGGAAGATGGTCAATCAATTCTTATTAGTCCTGTGCAACATTCTGAGTGCGCAGGGATATGTACGTAGTATCAATTGACTCTTCCTAAACCAAACTCACCTTTTCTTAGGCGTGCGCAACAACTGTGTAGGGTAGCCACATAATACCAAGAAAAGATAGAATTGCTTTAAGAAGTTGGTGATAGCTGCTATGTGTTCTGAAACATCTTTTACCAATTTGAATCCAAGGTGCTGCTGCACAACCCTAGGTGCTTTATTTCTGAACAACACATACTGTACAGTATTCTACTTTCCAAATCACTGTTTATCATACAAAGAATAAGCCCTCAAGAACATTAAGCGGGACTGGTGAGAGTAACCATAGTGATAGATCCCCTCAGTTTCAGAACCAGATAATAGACATATGCTGAATAACCATTTACCTTTAATCTGATCTGGCTTTTGCCCTCAGAGACACCCAATACTTCAATTAATGGCTTGTGTTCCTTCTCCGATTGACTGGAGCAGCACATCCCTGGGTGACTGACAAACTTATCAACATTGTTTTCAGTGATAAACCACCTTTCCTAAAGGTAAAACAGATATGGAAGGATTTAAATTTCATTTCAAATTAAAAACATTTGTTCTGAAGACACCACAACCACTACAATCGCAAGAGTTTCTTTTTTTATTTTTCTTCAAGGAGACGTTCATGATGCAGGGAACCTTAGAGAAAAAAAGGACCCAATAATTTTTCTCTTACAATTGCCATACATTCTGAAGCAGCTTCTTTACTCTGCTGCTCTCCAGATGTGAAGGACTTCCTTCAAATAACTTCCTTGCCATGCAGGAGAGATTTTAGCCACTTTTCCAATAAAAAATGTTAAACAACCACATAAAAGTATAACACTAGTTCAGTTCTAGCTTCAATTCTCAAGAATATTTTGGTATTAAAATATACTTTTTAGTACTTTTGTACTAACAATATTAAGATGTATTGAAACCAAATGGATTTATTTGTAACATAGCTAGGATTCTAATGCTGCCGGATTGTCAATACTTTTTAGTACTTTTAAGCAACATTATATGCTAACTTACGGAGAATTTTTTAATATTTTAAAATGGCTACAAAAATATTATTGAGAATTGAAGCTAGTACCAAAAAAACAGTAAGGAATATGTGCATCTTTATTTTTTTATTTATTTAATCTAATTTTTATACCGCCCTTCTCCCGAAGGACTCAGGGCGGTGCACAGCCAAGAAATAAAACAAACATATATAAAATTAAAAGCAATTTAAAAAACATATTAAATAATTTGGTCCCGATATCATTAAAAAATTAAAACAACCCATTAAAATTAATGTTTAGGCCAGCCCAGCTTGTTGGAACAATAACGTCTTGAGGGCACGGCGAAAGTTGCGTAGGTCAGGGATCATCCGTATCTCCGGGGGCAATTCATTCCAGAGGGCGGGTGCCCCCACAGAGAAGGCTCTCCCCCTGGGGGTCGCCAGTCGACATAGTTTGACCGACGGCACCCTGAGGAGTCCCTCTCTGTGCGAGCATACTGGCCGGTGGGAGGCTATAGGTAGTAGAAGGCGATCTCGTAAGGGTCTTATGTTATTCAAAAAAGAGGTAGTATTCTTATTTGCGTAGATTTTGTAACTTTTGAAATACTGTGATTTTTTAACATGCATTGATTTATTTACTATACATGCATCCGAAATAAATTATTACAAACACTTTAAGCAGAAATTGATTCAAGCATATGTAGGAAGTTAGCACCCACCCCTTTCCTGGAAGAGTGAAATATTTTAGGAAATATGAAAAAGGCAGAATATTATATTTCCCTGGATGAGAAATATGAGAAGCATATTTTACAGACAAAGCAGCTCCCACTTTCCTGCCCCACACTCTTTGTCAATGGGCCATTAAGGCCTGGGCCAGTCTATTCTATATAACAAAGATCTGCCTCCTTCAGGCAGAGCCATAGTAGGAATTGCCAAAGATCCAAGAAAGATAGGATTAGCCCTCTACACAATAGCAGCAGAAACTCACCACATGTGACCTGGGAAGCACATGTGACCATCAGCCAGCAAGGCCCCCACCCCCTGGGAGTCTGACAACCAATCAGGATACTCTTTCTTCCAACACATATGTAAAAGATTGTAGCACAGAGCTGCAAACAAAACAAGTTCCAGACTGACTATGCAACTTTTGTCAGAAATGTATACCATTGCTCTGCTTTTCCCCATCATTACATCTTGATGCTAAAAAATGCTGGATTCATTTATTTGAATTCTGTTTTTATTATTTTTACAAATAACTCAAGGTGGCAAATGCACCTTCCTATTCTGAACCCAGATGTGACATTATCACATTTCCACTTTTTCTTCAGACTGAATATCCCATATTCCTTCCATTTGTTTTCAAAGAACATAACCTCAAGTACATCACCTTTATCACCCTCTTCTGACTTATCAATATCCTTCTGGAAATGTGTCCAGAACTATACACACAGGTTTGACCCCAAGCATCTTTGATACAGTAATTTTCTAATGTAACCGATAATTGCATTAGCCTTTATCTAGTACCAAATTAAATATTTCTCCTGAGGAGACTGCAGGCATTTAAAATTAGGATATATAGAGGGATTTAATTTAAGTGAAAATCACTTCACTGTCAAAAACAGCAGGTTGACAAAGAATGAAGATCTGGAGATCTCAAGGGCTTTTGTCAATCTTGACACATAGAAATTCAACTCTTTCAAGCAATGCAAAATGAAGGGGGTGGGAAGTGTTTGTAGAAGTTTCCCTGAGGCAATAGCACTGGTTAAAATGATAATAGCCCCAAGAGGCAATCCCAGAAAAAGCTTTTAAAAGCTTGATCAAGAGGTCAGCAATACACATTTTTTAAACAAAGAAAGAGGGGTGTGTCCCTTAAATATTAGTGGCTCTTCCACAAGGAGGGTCTATTTTGTCAGTAGTTAAAGCAGCAACATTTTAAAGAAAATAGATTTTTCCAAAAATTATCTGCTATTTATTCAAGATTCTTGTGAGATATCAAAAGAAATACATGCTTGGTAATCTTCGCAATAAATTGTTCAGGATTTAATCTTAACATTTGTATTTTCAAATATTATATACATAACTATACAATGCTGTTCCTTTCAGAGTAATCAATGTTTACTTAAAAAAAGAAAAAAACACTAGGTAAGAATAAAAAACATTCACTTTTTCTCCATCTCTTTCCATTCTAGCAAATTCTTGTTGATTCTGTGGGAAGCCACCCTCCCCCCGCCCAGAAGACTAAAATATTTTGAGGAATATTTTTAAAAAGGCAGGATAAAATATTTCCCCTAAAAGAGAAATAAAAAATCTTAAGGGAGACAGAAACTCAGAGCCCCAAGCAGATACTGAGCTGGGGCAGCTTTTATAAATGCAGATTTAGTAATCCATTACTCCCTGAAGCAAAGTCTAAACAAAGACAGAGTGTTAGGATTAGCCCTCACTCAAGATCCAAATCAGGACAAAGCCATTAAGCCATAATAGGAATTGCCCAACATCCTTTCAGAACATAAACTCCTTCATTGCATCATCTCAGAGCAGACCAAACTGCAACCAAACTTAGCTCTGACAAACACCTAGGATTTGTACTTTGCCTATAGAGCTGTGATGGCGAACCTATAGCATGTGTGCCACAGGTGGCATGCATAGCCATATCAGTGACCATGCGAGCTTAGCTCCAGCGTGTGCCAGCTCATTTTCGGGCCTTCTGGGCCCACCAGAAGTAGGGAAACAGGCTGTTTCCTGCCTCCGGAGGGCCTCGGGGGTGGGGGGTGGGGAAGACCTGTTTTTTGCTGTCCCCTGCCTTCAGAGCCTCTCTATGAGTCTGGGGAGGGCGAAAACGGCCTTCCCCATCCCCTTGGAGGCCCTCCAGAGGCCAGAAATGGCCCATTTGCCAACTTCCGGTAGGACCGGAAGGCCCATTTTTTGCTGTCCCCAGCCTCCAGAGTCTCTTTAGGAGTCTGGGGAGGGCAGAAACGGCCTTTCCCACAACCCCGGAGGTCCTCCGGAGGCCGAAAACAGCCCATTTGCCAACTTCACAGTAAATCAATTTACTGTGATTTTTAAACTATAATTTATTACTAACCATTTTATATGAATCCATTCAATAATTGATGGCTGAACAACTGTGGTTTAGCATTGATATAAAAAAAGCCTAACTGGCAAAGTTAGTTTGTTTCATTAAACTGTAATTAAGACTAATCATTTTAAAAGATTTCTATGCTGACTTTATTATTTTTATAAATAACTCAAGGCAGCAAACATTAACAAATATAGCTAATACTCCTTCCTCCTCTTATTTTCCCCACAACAACACTGTGAGGTGAATTGGGCTGACAGAGAATGGCCCCAAATCACCCAGTTGGCTTTCATGCTTAAGGCAAGACTCCGTTTCCTTATTTTTAGCCTGCTGCCTTCATCAGTAGACAAAAATGGCTCTATTCATTTTTTCTTTCTTTTGTCCAGGTTCTATAAACAATTTATAAACCTCATGACTTCAACAAGAGCAGATGAACAAATTTCTCTGTGGGATGCCACAGCGGTCGGCCCTCTTACCCCTTTTGTTCAACATTTATGTGAAGCCACTGGGTGAGATCATCTGTGGTTTCGGGGTGCAGTACCATCAGTACGCTGATGACACTCAGCTGTACATCTCCATCCTGGACCATCCCAATGATGCCCTTGACGTGATGTCCCGGTGTCTGGAGGCCGTGCGGATCTGGATGTGGAGAAACAGGCTCAAACTCAACCCATCCAAGACCGAGTGGCTGTGGTTTCCGGCGTCCTGATATAGTCAGTTGGTGCCATCTCTGACTATTGGGGGCGAGTCGTTGGCCCCCACGGAGAGGGCTCGCAACTTGGGTGTCCTCCTGGATGCACGGCTGTCCTTAGAAGAACATGTGACGACCGTGGCCAGGGGGGCTTTCTATCAGGTTCGCCTGATTCGCCAGTTGCGTCCCTTTCTGGATCGGGACACCTTGCGCACGGTCACTCATGCCCTCGTCACTTCCCGCCTGGACTACTGTAATGCTACATGGGGCTCCCCTTGAAGAGCACCCGGAGGCTCCAACTGGTCCAGAATGCGGCCCCACGGGTGATTATGGGAGCGTCATGGCGCTCCCATGTAACACCTCTCCTGTGTGAGCTGCACTGGCTTCCGGTGGTCTTTCGGGTGCGATTCAAGATGTTGGTTACCACCTTTAGAGTGCTCCATGGCTTAGATATCTACGAGACCGTCTTCTGCTGCCGAGTGCCTTCCACTGGCCAGTACGCTTCCACAGAGAGGGGCTCCTCGGGTGCCGTCGGTCAAACAATGTTGACTGGCGGTCCCCAGGGGGAGAGCTTTCTCTGTGGGAGCACCTGCCCTCTGGAACGAGCTCCCCCCAGAGATACGGACGATCCCAGACTTACGAACTTTTCGCCGGGCCCTAAAGACTTTATTTCACCAAGCCGGGCTGGCCTAATTTTTAAATTTTTAAATTGTTTAATTTTAATCTGAATTTTAATGGGGTATTTAAACTG